ATAAGGCTGCGTTAAAGTGATTTACTTTCGCTATGGCGCGCGGCGAAAGTAACCGGTCAAAGTGCTGGTAGAGAGTTAATACTGTTAAGCTTAAGATCGTCAAAGTCTTTGTTTTGGCTTAGTGAGGTTTGTTCGCAAAAATCGCTAAGTGCCGCTGCTATTGTTTTCCGAGCCAAATTCGGCGACCTTAGTATCGGGTTTATAACAGGCAGAAAGCGAGAAACACTTTGCGTGAAAATCGCTAAGTGCCAGCGCTAATGATTTCTGAGCCAAAATCGGAGATTTTAGTATGGGGGTTTAACAGGGCAAGCTAGACGGCAGGGCGTAAAATTAGACTTGGTTTAAGTATGTTAAAAGAGAGCGAATAGCGTGAATTAGACTTGGTTTAACTATGTTAAAGAGAGCGGAATAGCATGAATTAGACTTGGTTTAACTATGTTAAAGAGAGCGGAATAGCATAAAATAGACTTGGTTTAAGTATGTTAAAAGAGAGCGAAATAGCGTAAATTAGACTTGGTTTAACTATGTTAAAGAGAGCGGAATAGCATGAAATAGACTTGGTTTAACTATGTTAAAGAGAGCGGAATAGCATGAAATAGACTTGGTTTAAGTATGTTAAAAGAGAGCGAAATAGCGTGAATTAGACTTGGTTTAAGTATGTTAAAGAGAGCGGAATAGCATGAAATAGACTTGGTTTAACTATGTTAAAAGATAGCGAAATAGCGTGAATTAGACTTGGTTTAAGTATGTTAAAGAGAGCGGAATAGCATGAAATAGACTTGGTTTAACTATGTTAAAAGAGAGCGAAATAGCATGAAATAGACTTGGTTTAAGTATGTTAAAAGAGAGCGAAATAGCGTGAATTAGACTTGGTTTAAGTATGTTAAAGAGAGCAGAATAGCGCGAATTAGACTTGGTTTAAGTATGTTAGAGAGAGCAGAGTAGCATGAAATAGACTTGGTTTAAGTATGTTAAAAGAGAGCAGAATAGCGCGAATTAGACTTGGTTTAAGTATGTTAGAGAGAGCAGAGTAGCGTGAATTAGACTTAGTTTAAGTATGTTAAAGAGAGCGGAATAGCGTGAATTAGACTAGGATAAAGTATGCAAAATGAAGCTGAGGACTTTGTGAAAAAATGCGAAGTTGTTTGCTGTTCTAATTGTATGGGTTTGGAGATGTTTTTGGCTTGGATTAATAACAGGCAGGAAGCGCGAGGAAACGCAGCGAATATGGACGCGTACGCGGAAGGTGACGGCGGAGGAAGCGCGGATATGGAGGTGAAAATGGTGAAGGTGATGGCGCGAGGAAGGTGACGGCGCATGGGTGTGAATATGGAGGTGATGAAAGGTGACGGGAGGAAACGCATGATGTATATGACAAGTTGGTGTCGTACTTAAGCGGAGCGCGCGCTGTGCATGTATGAAGGTGTCGAAGGTGTTTCATATTGCCTAAGACGCGTACGTGCACATGTCATGTCGCATAGGAAGCGTAGGTATGGTTGTGCAAGTCGTAAATGGCCACTTTGGTGGTTTAACATTGTTTCCAGGCCGCGTATGCGCAAATATGGGGTGCGGCGGCTATCTGCACTGCTGTGTATGAAGGTGTCGGTCTGTGTGGGGTTCCTATCGGAGAGAATACGTATGCTGCGTTGTAGGAGTGAGCTGCTGGCCACACGTTTGTATTGGAGTGCGCCACACCCCCCCCCTTTTTGTTTTGTTACTATATAAAGTGTAGCCATCCACCCAGCCAATTCTGAGGGCCAGAAGGGGTATTGGGGGCCATCGTGTGCAGTCTATGGCCACGTATGTGGACATGTGAGTGTGTAAATGTGTTGTACCAATGTATACGAATGATAGACACTAATAGGCGTGTCGGTCAAAGTCAAATGTAGACGGCCATCTTAGGCTGAAAGCACCATATCCCGTCTGCTCTGTGAAGTTAAGCAGCCTCAAGCTCGGGTAGTACTCGGGTGGGTGACCACCGGGGAAGTCCGGGTGCTGTCTACTTTTTAGCCCGTTTTGAGCTGTTTACCGACTTTGCGTGTGTTTGCAAACGCAAGATATGATGTCTGGCATGTGCCCACACGACATCTTGGTTTTAGTATGCCTGGCGAGCCACTACACACGAGATCTTGTTTTTTGTATGGTGTTCTTTAATTTGATTATTATGAAGATGAAAGAGAACCGTTAGAACGGGTATGAAGGGTGTTCTAGGGGTGCTTTTCGGTGCTCTTTCACGTGGACATATCGCAGCATGCGACATGTCAGCGGAACACTGTCTAAATTAATAAATACTGTTTTGGCCGATTTCTAAAAGCGTCTATAAAAGGGCATAAGTGCAATGACTCGTCTTTGTAACCCTGCGGCCTAGGCGTAGTTTTTCACGGGGAATCCGAATATCAAAGGTAGATTTATGTACAACATGTACTTTTTTTTGCAACATGTACTTTTTATCTACGGGACATAGACATATGTAAAAACACACGGCGGAGCCGTTCCCGCAATCAGAATTTGTCTAACTCTTCTAGATCAAAAGTTATTCAGCGAAATGTGAGACTTTGTTTGGCATGCTCTTTTTTTAGGTGGTTTTTTCCGGCTTATGTGCCGCCCGGCAGAATCTGGCCTGCAGACTTTAGCAGAAAACTTGGCGCATGTGTTCGCACGACCGCTTCCCAAGGTTTTACAAGGCATTATTCTCCCAGTAGTTGGCTTCCGCAATGGAATTTTTTTTTTAGTGTACCGGCCAAAAAAAACGCCCC